GATTCGAGGCTAGGTGTTAAATCCGATTTGATATCGATAAGTGCGCGATTTTGTGTAATCCTCGACTGATAGTCCAACCGAATACGGTGTCACGGTTATGTGCGTAATTAATAGGGTTTTGTTCGAATGTACCGTGGTATTTTGGTATATTCGGTATTTCCGTGAGATATTAATTTCGTGTATTTTGTAGAAAATTTTGTTATTTCGTTACAGAGGTGTAACGAATTTTAGATTTGTACATTTTCTTTTGTCTTGGAAGATTTTATGCGGTCTTTGGTTATTTTGTGGTGACCCAAATTTAGAAAGAATTTTGGAATTTGAGATGATATTATCTACATTTTTATCGCATTCGAATGTTAATCCGTATTGCGAATTGTTCCAATAGACTTTTAGTAAAATTGTAAAATAAATTGAGGGATGACAAAATTTTTCTAAAATATCTTTGCGAAAGTGTTTCAATTTTATTATTGTGTCAAAATGATATATATATACATATATAAAGGATACAATTTTAAAGAGATTTCATTGCCTGAGTGTACTTTTAGATACATTTTAGCAATATTAAAAAATACTTTCGATATTCGAACAATTTAAAAAGACATTAAGTCAGAGGTATAGGTAGCTCATAATTCTTTTACTTTGTTTATTCCATTTTTCACAACATCATAAATTTTCTTATCATGGCGTAATATTTTTAATACAGTTACCAACATCATACATCATCCTCGCATTAGCTGCTCTCATACCTTCTCTCTCATGCCAGATGCCATTGATATCTTGCTTACACTTAAACGTGAACTCCTAGTTCAATTAAGCACTGTCACTCTTCCACTAATAGTCCCCATATACTGTGCTCATTTATATTGACACACTATTTCAGAATTCTACAAAATTCCTTCCCCCTAAATTAAATTCAAAATCAACTTTAGGTCAAAAATACTAAATAAATTTCCCAAATAATTTTCTAAAAGTTCCATCTTGACCTGACCAAAGTCCTATCGAATCAGTCGAACAGTCGGCCAGCAATGTAACAGAGTCAAGCGTTTGTAGCATTAATTTCCTCTGAGAATAGACCCTAAATAATCACAAAAGAGAGTCGTAATGAAAGAAAACAGCTTACGGAGTACACCGTAAAGCAGACACGCGATCCACGAGCATCGAAGTTAAACTTGGAAAGATAGAGGCAAGACGAGAAAGGATCACAGTAGGTACAGCACGAAAATCAGAAGAGAGGGAGCAAAGGGGTACCCCAAACGAAGAAGCTCTAGAGGCAGTAGAGGAAAAACAACGCAGACGGAGCAGGAAAAGGCCGAAAAGAGAAAAGGAAAGACGAGACAGAAGAAGGGAAGAAAGGAGAGAAAGAAACGAGAACGAGAGGAGAGGTAGAAAGCAGAAAGAAAGGCAAAGCATATTCAAAGGAAGGCAAAGAGCTGGAGGAAAAGCGGCGGATGAGAGATAGAGGTACATATCGAAAGAGAAAGGCAGCCAGGGGCGGACCAGACCGCTCGATGGGGATGAGGGTGGCCAGGGTGTCGGGGGTGTTTAATGCAGGACGGGTGCTCCGGTTCCCAGCGGTTGCTGAGGCTCCAGACGCGAGTAAGAGAGGAGATTCAATTAGTGGCAGAGCTTCCTAACGTTAAGGAGACTCCACACGGGGTGAGGTGAGCCTCTCGTTCTTGCGTTTCCATCCTGCACCCCTCTCGCATGCCCCCTTCTCTTTCACGATCGTCATTCGCGAAAAACGCACGTGTATGTGCTTCCTGCGGGACTCCTTCCCCCGAATGCTCCCAGTTTCACGGAAATTCACAGAAACTGGCGAGGGTAATCAACGAGGGAAGTGTCCTGTGCGCGAAGGGGTTGATTTTCATCGTGGCAGTCGAAACGAGCAGCGTAGGTGATTGCGTAAGGTTGCAATTGTTTTGCAAGCTTTTCTATCAGTGGTTCGAAATGTTGACAGAAATTGGCAGCTTGTTGGAAGAAAGGGTGTCGTTGTGATATCGCAGAGAAGTTGGGGATGCAGGGAAGGACAGGGGATTAGTTAGATATTTGTAATTGGATATTTGGTAAGGTACTGGTGAGATCAGTTCTCTAGAACATGGTTCCATAAAGAATAAAAATATACTTGGATCAGTTTGTGATCAAGTGTACCGCGAATTTAATAAAATTGTAAGACTACTCCTAAACACAGTAATTTAAATAAGGGTAGGTACCTCGTAATACACATTTAAAAAGATTAATCATCTATCATCCGATTAATTAACGATATTTTCACACATCAACTAGAAAAGAATATACATTCTTAAATATTCCTTCTTCCAATTTCGCTAAAATAAATGATACCAGGTCTCGCGAAAATAACAAGAACCCATACATCGTCATCACCACCTTTTCTTCGTTCTTGTACCGTTCCACCATCCCTGCGACACTTCTTGTTTCATCCCCGTGCCATTTCATCGGCGCGTTTTTACCATGGATAGGTGACCACGTCATGGAACGTTGTGAGGCGCCCATAAAACGTAGGTGACCACTCGGTAAGTGGTATATATTATGTATGCGGTGCTCGGCGCTTCGCGAAGCGCCGCCGCAGGCATGCAATCATCCGCCGCCTGACAACCCGGAGATCTCTAACCCCTCACACCAGCGTGTACCAGCACCCTCCGCCGTTCCACGGAAATTCATCCCTCCCGGTGTCATTTGCTCTGCCCGTCTACCTTGCCGACGAAATGCCCCCTGCGCCGCGCGAGCCCGTATATTTTGCGAAATATGGCGTTAAACGATATCAGAAGATTACCAAGCGGCTTACCGCGTCGGATTTGTAACTTGTAAAGGGTGGAAAGAGAGGATCCGCTGCGACCCGCCGAATCTTCCACCCTCTCGCGAGATGCCTTGGATTTTCTTCAGCTTCTTTCGCGAATTTGCAAATAGAGAGGAGGCTCGTGATCTCTCCCGACATCGACGACTTTCGTTTCGTTTTATCTATTTTTATGCGATATTCTGAGACTTCCAAAGAAAAGGAATTGACTTCATGGGCTTGAACAAAATTCTGACAAGATGTTTTGGTTGCTTTCATCTTTTTCATTTTTGCTTTCGCTCCTTGAGCGAATTTCCAAGTAGTGGGAACGTTTCCAATAGAATGATTCATCTAGATTTCATTTGCTCCCTTCGTGAATTTGCAGACGGTAAAAATTTGAAATTCGCGGAATATTTGTTAGATTAGTATACCGACAAATAGCGTATCTAGTATTTTAGCGGAAGTTTTTGGTATAAAATAAGAATTTAAAATAGAAATCTGGTAAAAAGGTCAAAGACTTCTGATCTTGGAATGTCAAGTCGAGTTCATGAATTTTGAATTTTATCTCTGTCACAGAATAGGTTCTTTGGCATTTTATCTTCAGTCCGAAACAACGCAACGGAGGCTTCGAATGAACAACAAAGCGCGAGAGGCTAAGTCTTGACTTGTTAAAACGAAATAAATGAACCCCCTAGCCTCCCTGGCCGTACGGTCAACATCATTTCCAGTGTACACGTACAAATCGAGCCAGGCCCTTGGATCCGCAAACTTTGCCTCGTTTCATGCCCAATCGATCGCGGCTCGCAACTTCCAAGTTTAAATCTCTTTGTTTCCGTTCATAATTCGAAGCTACCCTTTCTGGAGGTACCGAGCACTCTGAACCGGAATTAAACCGGCGCGCCCCGTGTTTGCCCCTTTCGCCGGTAGAAAATCGGGATTATTTCCGATACTTCGTTTCCAAGATAACTTTCCAACGTTCACGCTTGCCGCGTCTACGGGGGAGGAAATAATTAGAATGACTTTAATCTGCGCGGTGCTGCGATCCGATTTCGATTCGATTTTGGCTTAGAACGCTGGATCCACGAGATTTGTTACTCTTTCCTGACGATAAAAATACTTTTATCGAAATGTCTTGTTTTCCTTTTAAAAACTCGTGATCGAATATTAATAGAAATCATTCCTTTATTTATCCGTTTATTTTATCCTTTTTATTTTTTACAATTTGTTCGAGGTGCTAGAACGATTCGTATGCAGTTAGATCTGTTGACTCGGGTTATCTAGATTGAAACAGCCGTTAAAAAATATTAGAAGTTACTAATAACTTGCTACTAATTACTATTAATTAGTTACTAATAACTAATAACTAGTTACTAATTACTAATAACTAGTTACTAGAAACTAAAATGTTACTAATAAGTAATAACTAGTAACAAAACAGCAGAGACAGCTAATGTTCGTACAAAAATTATGAAACTTTTCATTTTCGTATAATATATCATTATAGTCTGAGTCAGAGTACTCCAGTACTCGCATGAGAAAAATTCTCAGACACTTAAACAGAAACAAACCAAAGTTCAGACCCCTTCGATATTACTATACCTCAGAAACATCTCTGGGATCCTGCTTCATCCAAAAAGATAGCACTACCTCAAGGTAGATCGTTTTTAAAATAGAAGAGGTAGCTAATGTAATGCTATGCACATGTAACTATTTCAATATTTCCAGATGGGACTAATAATGTCCAACTATGCATTAGGTGCATCAAAAATGTGGAACAATTTTAATCCCACAGTGCTCCAAGGAGTTTTAAACAGAAGCAAACCAAAATTCAGACCCCTTCGACGTTACTATACCCCAGAAGTATTATATCTCAGGGATCCTGCATCATCCAAGAAGATAGCTGTGCCTCATCGCATATGGTCAATTCAATATCACGAATTTTCACCCAGCTCGTCCAATCTTCCCACGAATCCGAAAATACGATCACCCACGATTGATCCACCTCATCTCAAACGTTCACCTGTAACCGATCAACAGCCTAGCAACCTATCCTCGTCTTAAAGAAACCCAAGGCTCGATGGAAGCGCCGGAAAAAGACAATAGAAGCCAGTGGAAAACAGCGAGCCTACGGCGTTAACAGTTTTGGCCTGACCGCGTGCTGGCGTCGACCACGGTCGGCGACGAAGAAAGGCGGACGCGGGGTAAAACCATGGAACAGGGGTGAGAACGATGGAAGGGGGTTGCGTGGGAGTGGACGGCTGGTAACGCAACGAAGCGAGGCGTGCCGTACACGCGGCCGGCAGCATCAATCCATCCACATAAACGGTAAACTGTAAAGCGGGTACCATGGAGGAGCGACAGAGACGGGAAGAGGGTGAGCCACGGGGTGGCGGGCCGGCGCGAGGGTGAAAAGAGGAAGACAGGAACGGACGGTCTCCCTCTTGCGGTAGGACGCGCGATGTGTGTGGACGGAACGGGTCGTTGCGCTAAGCCGGGCTTTGATCGTCACCTGTCATACTAACGCGAGGAGGAACCGCGTCAGGGACACGGTTCACGTAACTGCGAGAATTACGTCCGCGAGCTTATGCATCTCGCGAGGGTGGCTTCCGTCCCGCGAACGGCACGAGCCGTCGTGGATGTACAGTTTTGTGGGATTCTTCGCGGTCAGGGTTGCTGCCACGTCGGATTGCGCGAGGTTATGGGTTTCGCGTGATGTTCCGTGCTTTGAGGTTCGTTACACAGGTGAGGCTGGGGTAATTAAGGAAGCAGAGACAGAGGTTGTAGAATTAAGGTTCGAGAGTAATTCTTGAATATTTGCACAATCTTTGCGAAGGTCTTGCTTTGTTTTAGGAACTGCAGTCTCCTTGTTGAAGTTTGACAATTGTAGTTGAATAGGACATAAATGAAAATATGATTCAATTTCTTATTGAAGCACCCTAGTAGACTGACATAGTGGAGATTATATCGTAAAGTTATTCAGAAGATGATTCAAATGTTCGATGAATCGTTGATTCTATATTTCTTCTTACCTACGTTTGAATTTTGAGAAGAATTCTGACTCGTGAAAAAGGGTGAATCGAAGATTTTTTGAAAAATGAAATATGAGGAAATTGGAATTTGCAAATGGTATAGAAATTCTGAGATTATCGTACATTTGTATATTTCTTCGTCTAAGTTTCAATAGCATAAAGTAGAATTATTATTCAGATTATATAGGGTTAATTCACGTTAGACGCTTGGTTATTATGGGATACATAGTCAATTTTGTTTGGATTGGTGCATCTATGAATCTTCGTGCACAGGTCCTTATACGGGGTCCTATTGGACGCATAATCCTGTTGAACAGTCCATTAATCGTTGGTCATCTCATTTACACATATGTGAAATGTCACGCGCTAACCCTCCTCTGTTAATCTGCATAACATACATTCCTACTCGCGTCGTGAATCAGGCAACAATTTCCAGAAGGGACAACAGATCATGTGCTGTAATAGCAATATGACATAAGAAATATACATCCCATTGCCTTAATTAAGTCCTAAATAATATTTGCATTGAAAATTCCATGGAGACATACAAGTCCTTTTCAATGAAAAATAATAAACGTTATTACATTAATACGTTATGTATGTAAACATTATTACGTTAAACATTAATAAATTATCACGCGAAATCTCGCTGCTTAAATACAATACACAATGCTATATCTTAAAAAAGACAGTAGTAGAAGTCAATAATATGGAGGCCTTCTTTAATCATTGACTATTACCACTTAAAATCAATATTCACCTTTACGAAAACAAATTTCATACACTCTTCCAAGTACGTATATATATACTGAATAAAGTATATTATATATTTCATTAAATTTATTAATATTATTTACAATATTAATGCAATATATAATGTATAAAATATATATATATATATGTTAGGTATCTATCGGGTAGCAAAATTATAACTCGATAATCCTCTTATCGATAAACATTTCATATAACCCAATGAAATTCGATCACCCATACCAATACCACCCACACACATCCTCAGACACTGGAAAACGGACGAGCGATCTTTCGGCTCGCACCCCACCGTGTCGGGAACAGTCACGGTATTTTCCAGAAGACAGAAAACAGGTTCACAGGGTAGGCCCCCTTTTCGCCATCCGTCCGACAACACACCCACACCATCTCTCACGGCGTGCACGTACACGCGACGCCTCCATATGAATCTCTCTGGAGTGGTAACACGTGTACGGGCGCGTCGTACACGCGAGTCCGACACACGAATCGCGAATTCGGCCCCTCCAATCGGCTAAACTCGACGGGACGGAAACGTTGATGGCGATGCTGATGGTGGTGAAGGCGAGCCCGGTGGTGGTGGTAGTCGATGTATCAACCCCACTCACTCGAGGATTAGCCTTCGAGATCGCTGACTGCTGAAATGTTCACAGATCGGTTTACCGTTTAGCAGGATAGAGAGTGTGAGCCCCGTGATCCATGGCCCGTGTGAGCACCCCACGCACGGCCGCGCGCGCGCACACACACACACCTATACGGCCGAAACGTACACACTGCTCGTGGCGCACAGTCGAATTTCGTTCTCCCGCATACGTGCATCGCGTGCTCTCGTTCTCCGACCATTCCTGTCACTTGTACGCTTGTGCTCCTTTATCCGCTTGCTTTTCCACCGTTCGCTCCTTCCTTTTATTTTCTCTTCCTTTATTTCCCCTCTACTCGTTATTTTAGTTTCGTTACTTACTGGTAAGTACTCTTTTAGATTCTTCCTCGCGCACCGACCGGGGCAGATTAAGTTGATCGATTTCTTCGTCCAGTTCAACTTCGTATACTCGATTTTTACTTTATTTTTGCCTCAGTCTCAGTCGGCTTATTTATTTGCCTATTTTTATCCGGTTTCAGGCGTGATAATGTATTTGGCACCCGTAGATAAGGTAGATAAGGTATTGTATTTAGATTTTGTTTAGATCGACGGATGGATGGTTGATCGATGGTTTGTAGCATACGATGTGAATATAATTTCGTGATCCAATCTTGAGAATCCTGATCACATAACTCTGAAAATAATAAATATTTTGTTAATAAGAAAATGGAATAAGAAGGGAGAGATATATTATGAAAGAAGTCATAAAGACAAGTGACTATTTTCATCTGGGTGGTATAAAAGAGGGATGAAAATTTAGTAACGTTCAGAACTGCTTCAAAATAGTTAACAATAATAAATTTTATCATTGACCATTACCACTTTCTCCAATTTAAACACTAAATCAAGTCTTCGTCATTACCATTTAAAACTAACTGCATGTTCCGACCACTGAAGCCCAAAAACAGCCACTGCTCGTCTAATCTAGGTATCTAAACAGTAGCAAATAATCCAACAATTGGAACCTTCTTTACCAATCCCAATTACACACAAAAATCTCTTGAAAGAAGCTGAGAAACCATCAAGTAGTCAATAATTACACGATCTACATTCCATTTCCTTCTCCCCAGTTCATCCATTCGCACCTACGAATTTATTCCTGTCCATCCTGGCCCACCCTCTGTCAGCTCCTTCACCCACTGTCCCTCATCTTATCTGGCCCAAGTGTCTCTCGTGCTCCGTCTCGATCCTTCCCACGACCCGCGTGATCTCCGGTCTCCCTTCTTCTCCCAAGGATGAATGGCAAAACGCAAGGGCTGCAGGCCTAACCTGGCCACGTCGCGCGTACATAGGCCGACGCCACTCAACTGTGGGAACTCGCATTGTGGACCACACGTGGCACGCGAGTATTACGCTGGCTCGTGGCTTCTGTGTGCACTGGATGTAGCATCGCGAGCAACCGGGACAGCAATAGGCGAAAGAGAAAGGAAGGAGAGAGTGGGTGGATGAAAAGGGAACAGGGCGCGGTCCATTCCAGCGCATGCGATCCTAATCCCCGCGTCCATTCGACGTCCGGATCGCGAGCACGCACGTACTCGAAAATCGCCCCCTTAAGCTCCCCCCAGGCCGGGCGAAAAATTGTCCCGACGAATTAAGAGGAACGTGCGCTCGTCGCTCCACGGATCCGTCGAGACATGGACATCGGGGGTGAAATCGGGTGTCTCTTCCTCCGCGACGATCAGCCCCGGCTGTGTATACGTGGATTCTCGCGCGATACTCGTGTTGCTGGATTTTTTAACGATTCAATGCCAGATCCTCTTTTTCCAGGATTGTTTACCTCGATTGTTAGCGTTCTCGCTGGTTCTATCGATTAAGACTGATGTTATTGGAATTTTGGTGATCGACCATAATACGTAATGTCGAAGGATAGCGATAGCAGGTATAATCGACGAAGAGTTAGAGTGATTTTACCAGGTACAATAATTTGGTTAATTAAGTTATTCTTTATTAGACTTTTGCAGTAGATGGTGCCATTTTGTTGGTACCATGAGAGGTTTTTAATTGGAATTATATATTATGGTGTAAGGTGGTCAATTTGTGGTTTAATCCTTTGCACTCGAGAGATGACGTTCAATCACCATTTCATAAAATTTGGAAGATCGATATTAATTAATATATCAAATTTAATGTAATGTAATAGTGTGCGAGGTATCGAAATCAAATAATTCTACGATTCTATTATTATAAATTAATGGAAGATCGATATTAATTAATATATCAAATTTAATGTAATGTAATAGTGTGCGAGGTATCGAAAACAAATAATTCTACGATTCTATTATTATACAATTCTTTATTTACTGCTGTAAAAAGTATTGTCAGTTTTTTAGTAGATAATCTTTGAATTTCTACTCTTCTTTGGCCAAAAAATCGTCGAGTGCAAAGGGTTAATAAACCTGTTCTTGTCTTGGACAAATAATTATTGTTTTATATTAAGAGCTGGGTATTGATATTATTGTTTGACCAATTCGATATTTAGAATATTTATTAGGATAAAATTCGGGATATAGAACCTCGTTGGTTAGTGTGTAATAATCTATGTGTAAATAATTTATTAAAAAATGGATGATTGTTAGAAGATGACTCGTTTTCTTTGGTCTTCAAAATTAGAAGACTTTTTGGAAAAAGATCGCGTGTTTACAGATAGATCTTTATTCCCCTGTCTGTGAAATTAATGATTAGGAAGCTTAAAGTTAGATTTAGATTTAAATAGTTGGAGGTTTAATAAACCTGTTCTTGTCTTAATAATTATTGTTTTATATTAAGAGCTGGGTACTGATATT